AATATGGAGGTACAAGACAAGGCTCAAATTGAATCGTGCATCACACCGTTAGATGTGATGTCAGTGGCTGCCTCTGTGTGTGGATTTTATTGGAGCTGAAGAAAATTTGTTTGCAGATAAATCACTTCACTCTGGCAGTGAGACCATGTCTGAGAAGTCAGGTGGGTTGTCTTCAGTTGTTGCAGATGCTTTCCCACATCAATCTGGATCCTCCTCAGGCAACTGCAAGTTTTGAGAAATTTTTTTTATTTGAATTTTACGTTGTGCACAGAGAACATCCTTTACCAAGCCTCAGTGCCAAGAGTTCACATCTGTATTAGTGTCAGCATTACAAAACTCATTAAAAGGCCACACGCCCTGATCAGTTGGCTCGCACTCTGGCTGTGATGCAGGACCCAGACATAGTGGGACTTGGTAGCATGCCACCTATAGAATCTAGTGTGGCAGCATTCATTGTATCTCCTGATGAGGCACTTCGTGAAAATGTGCGCTGTCCCAATGTCGAGTGCAGACGCACTGATGACCTACTGTCCCGTGCATACAATTCTACAGCAAGCCTTGGCTGTGTTTCCAATTCTTTGGCGCACATGCTTGTAGCTTTACATTCCTCTCTGAGCGAAGCTTCATCTGACCCATTAGTAACAGAACTCTCTTTACAAGCCATGGGTGTTATTGCCAGTCACTGTAGCACCGCTTTAGGCACTCTTGTGCAAGCTCAAAGGCAGGTTAGCTCAATCTTCCTTGCCAGAGGTGTGTTGAAACAATTTTCAATGACTGCCATTAGTTTCGGGTCGAAACTTTGGACCAGCTGCACAGGAAGCCTTGGACCGGCGTGTATCAGTCTCTGAAATGCGTTCCCGTCATGTGGGGACAGCTTCAGGATCCAGGCCACCTCCAACAGCCTCTGGTGTCCATTATCACAATGTTGGTGCAAGATCTTCATATAGACCTCCTCAGCATTTCCAGCATTGGAACCCACAAGCTCCTCAACCTCCTAGGCCTGTTGGGTCTCAACTGCGTGGACATCAGTCTCATGCATGACACCCAGGCCCTCAGCAGTGTCCCCCCACCTCTACTGAAAAGCATCCATGGGATCGTTGATGCACAGATGACAACAGTGGGCTGTTTTATGGAAAGTCACCTGGAGCGTTGGAGATCAATAAAAACAAATCAGTGGTTACTGACTACCCTTTCAAGAGGGTACCGTATACAGTTTTGCTGTTGACTCCTGTTCATACTGCCACGAGACAGACAATAGATCACGATCAATGCCAGGCAGAGGCACTTGCGCACAAAGTTCAGGTATTGCTGCACAAGGGTGCCATAGAGTTAGTCGACCCTCAAGTTCACCCCGGGGGATTCTTTTCCATTTATTTTCTGGTCACCAAGAATGACGGCGGGTTTCGACCGATCTTAGACTTGAGAAATCTCAATCACTTTCTAAAGTTCCTTCCGTTTTAGATGTTGCGCACAGCAAATGTGTTGCAAGCAGTTATGCCAAAAGACTGATTTGTGACGATCGATTTGAAGGATGCGATTCCTTTGGTTTGCGTTCATGGGTCAGATATTCCAGTTCAGGGTTCTTCCGTTTGGCCTGGCTCTAGCACCAAAAGTTTTTTCATTCAGGCGGCATTGGAACCACTCCAAAGGAATAGCATGAGGGTACTGCCAAACCTGGACAACTGGCCTGTCTGTGCAGCATCACCCCAGCAAACAATCGATCAAGCTCGTCATCTGTTGGACCATATTGGAGCTTTAGGGATTTCTGTGAATTGGGAAAAATGCAAACTTGTCCCAATGCAGACAACCAATTTCATAGGTCTTGCTCTCAACTCTGTCACAATGCTGGCATGTAGGGTGCCTTCGGGTGGGCCATTCTCAGCGCTACATTTCTCTTATGAGACTCTTGAGAAAGCTCACAGCAGCAACAAAAGTAGTACCACTGGGATTGCTTTGGCTCAGGCCATTCCAATGATGGCTTATTCAAAAGCATCTGTGTCCAGTACGAGACAAATACACAAAGATCAGAGTCACACATCGTTGCATGCGAGCTCTAGCACCTTGGTTGCAGAAGCAATTTCTCTTCAGAGGAGTTCCATTGGGACCTCCACCTGCTCAGTGGGAGGTCATCAGGACAGATGCCAGTCTTCTCTGATGGGGTGGAGTCTGGCACAGAAGAGGAGTGAATGGCACTTGGAAGGGGGCCCTACACACAGTGCACATAAATGTTCTAGAGTTAGCAGCAGTGTTTCTTACCCTTCTTCATTTTCAGTCTGTTCTCAGGGGAAAACATGTTCTGGTACGCACAGACAACAGGGAGACAATTTTTTATATCAATCATCAGGGAGGCACAAGATCACAGAGTGCACTTCAGGTGGCTCGCAACTGCTTGTCTGGGTCAGACCAACCTACTTTCATTCCAGACAGTGTATCTACAAGGCCGACTTAATCAGGCCACGTATGCTCTTTCACGTGGCAGTCACAGGGAGACTGGACTGGCACTTCAGGTGGCTCGCAACTGCTTGTCTGGGTCAGACCAACCTGCTTTCATTCCAGACAGTGTATCTACCAGGCCGACTTAATCAGGCCACGTATGCTCTTTCACGTGGCAGTCACAGGGAGACTGGACTCTACACCCGGAAATGGTGCAGATAATATGGAGGACTTATGGGACTGCAATAGTAGATGTGTTCGCGGACAGTCAAACGTCTTACTGCTCTCATTGGTACTCCCTGAGGGACAAATCAGGATCTGTGGGTCTGGATGCACTAGCCCATGATTGGCCAGACATGATCCTGTGTGCTTTCTCCCCGCTACCACTGACTTGGATGACTCAGTGTCCAGTGCGTGAATGTGGCCATCGTCTGCTGTTAGTGGCTCCACATTGGCCTGCAAGGCCATGGATTCAGACTCTTCTCTCACTGACAGTAGGACAACCTTGTCATCTGCCCAGCAGATCAGACCTACTGAGTCAGTTAAGAGGGAAAGTTTGGCATCCACATTCAGACCGATTTAAACTGATTTAAACTGCCTCTAGGACCGCCAGGTCACTCTTGGAGTGTTCACAGAGGGACAGGAAAATGCTTGTGCTGAATCCACACGAAAGTTGTACGCTTGTAAGTGGAAAGTGTTTTATGACTGGTGTTCTAGCTGCAGTGTGTGTGTGTGCACTTGGAATACTTGGTTAAATGCAGAGCACAAATTCCAAGTATGGAACACCATACTTGGCCACACGTCACGTCACTTCACTTCATTTGAGCCAGTATCAAAGTCTGATATTAAATTGCTGTCATTTAAGACCACATTTCTCTTGGCCAATTGTTTGTTTGCTTTAGCAATGTGTGCAGGGGTGCTGCACTTTCCAAACAGAGACTGGCACACTGGGTGATGCAGGTAATTTCTCATGCATATGAGTCTGTACCTTCATCTTTCCACTGTCACTCTACTCGTGCTTTGGCAACATCTTGGGCGTTCAAGGGAGTGTCGCTCTCTGAGATTTGTGCTGCAGCAACTTGGAGTTCAGCTTGCATGTTTTCTCGTTTTTACAGATTAAATGTGACTCCCTTGCCAGCGGTGTGTGTTGCAGTGCTATGTCCCTGTACAGATGCTTCGCAAGGGGATTCCTCGTGACTGCGTAGGTATTCGTCTTCCACTAGTGCTTTCAGCACTGCCTCTGGTGGTCTGGAGCGAAAGGAAATAGAACGCTAGTTACAAACGTAGCAGTTTGCACCACCAAAGTTTCTGGTCATTCAGTATCGCGAGAATGATCTAGAGGTCGAGATGACGTGTTAGGGGGTTATTATAGCTCAAGACGCGATGCGAGTTACAAGGTGACAACTTTGTTATTCTGTTCTCGGTCAAACGCGAGCATGACGAATTTTCCACTAGTGCTTTCAGCAGTGCCACTGGCGGTCTTCCACTTAGTCATAGAACCATAATTATGTTTGTAATGCATGTTTTCTCGTTTTTACAGATTAAATGTGACTCCCTTGCCAGCGGTGTGTGTTGCAGTGCTATGTCCCTGTACAGATGCTTCGCAAGGGGATTCCTCGTGACTGCGTAGGTATTCGTCTTCCACTAGTGCTTTCAGCACTGCCTCTGGTGGTCTGGAGCGAAAGGAAATAGAACGCTAGTTACAAACGTAGCAGTTTGCACCACCAAAGTTTCTGGTCATTCAGTATCGCGAGAATGATCTAGAGGTCGAGATGACGTGTTAGGGGGTTATTATAGCTCAAGACGCGATGCGAGTTACAAGGTGACAACTTTGTTATTCTGTTCTCGGTCAAACGCGAGCATGACAAATTTTCCACTAGTGCTTTCAGCAGTGCCACTGGCGGTCTTCCACTTAGTCATAGAACCATAGTTATGTTTGTAACTAGCGTTTTGAATCATCCAGCACAAACTTTCAGCTTCACTCTACATTTCTCTGTCTATAGATATGATGTGACAGGTCTAACATATAAATCATTATTATAGGTTTATCAAAGTATATTTGGGTAAAGTAATGGCAGGATTTTAAAGATGGAAAGATTAATTAATAACTCTCATTAATAACATTTTGTTATATAAAAAAAGTCACATAGTGTAACTTAAAATTGTTAAAAAATAAGAATTAATCATCCTGATCCATTTATAAATTCCTCAGAAAATGTTGTTGTTATTGTGAATTAATTAATTGCCATATTGCAAATATTGAAGAAATGCGTATTAGAAATTATGTCACTCACTCTTTATAGTTTTTCAAGTTGGCACAAACCTTTTAACAAAGTACACATTTTGTGTATAGATATTATGTACAATAATGTTTTAACATATTAGTACATAACACCGAAAAATAAATAAAAAAAAGTGTTTTTCATGAATTGCTTAATCACCCCAAGTTCTGTGCCATGGTCCACTGTGGCACCAGCTGTCATAAGTTGTGATGACCAATTGCATTATGTCCTGCTTCACACCACAGCCGAAACATGCTGAAGCATCTCTATATTTTTCCACTGCAGGCTGAGTCAGAGGCAAATTCAGTAAATGGCACAAGCTCAGAGCAGATGGAGGAGACCTGTGCGGCACCAGAGGAAGAGGCGCATTACGTATCCTTAACACACAATGTTCCACCTGATGTTCCCACACCTCTCCAGCATGGCTTGTTACCAGCACCTCCTGGAAAGGAGCCCAGGGCCACTGATGTACTTCTCCCTCACAACAGTTCTCTAACCTCTCATAATGGTGCTGAATACATGAAACCAAACACTGAGAGGCATGTGGATCCCACTGAGCCACATGCCACATTCCATAGATCCACGTTTAAGAAAAGTTGTGAATCCGAGTCCGTTCAAGAACAGATGGTTCCTCTGAAGAAGATAAAACTGGAGGAGCAATGGGTTGAGATTGATGACCTGCACTCAAAGCGCTTAGAAACTAGCGGGTGCTACGAGGATGCTTTATCTACGCTTGCAGCTGTGGTCTGCTACTCCAGTAAGGACAGGAAAAGTCTAGAGGAGAGGCTTTTTGGGCCTCAGGCCTCAGACATGTGTTTAAAAACTGAGCCGAAAGAAGAACCATATCAGTGTCAGTTAAATCAAGGAGAAAGTCCAGAAGAACCTCCTCAGAATGATAACATTGCACTATCTTTACTCAGTGTCCAGTCTCTGGTCCAGCATAGGAATATTAGCGTTGATCAGGCTATAGCTATTGAGGCCTTGACCCAACTGGCAGCTACCCCACAAACAGTGCCCTTTGAAACAGAAAACCAGAGTCAGGACGCTCAACGAGAAACGTCTACATGCTCCGCTTCAAGCAACCACATAACTCTTCGAGAGGCTAAACCAGTTTCAGATGTTTTCTCTAACAAGGTCTCGGTAATCAGTTCATCATTGCAACAGACTTCTGTCATCTGCAACCCTCTGAACAGGCCGACCTACTTCACCCAAAATCAGCATTGTGCATCTACCTCCAGAAAACTTTCCCTGAAGGATCTTCTGGTGGCCAGCTCAGAATGTGAAAAGCTATCGTATACCACGGAGAACCGCAGAAATGGCCAAGCACTTTGTAAAGCTGACAGGTTAGAAGGCACTTTCAAGAAGTATAAGCATGGAGAAGCGATTCAAATCTCGAGAAAGAGGGATGAGGAGGAAGTTGCAGCTCAATTGGTGCAGCTTGCGTTCATGATCGAATCCAGGCAGATGCAAGTCTCTGAAAACAATCCACCGAAATGCATGCCGACTCAGACCATGAAATACAATCATAATTGTTTGGGGCAGCACTTAAAAAAGCAAAGTAAACCCAAAATGACGCCATCAAAACCCAGGATGTCCAAGAAGAAAGCTACTGAGATCGAGGGCAACCATTGTAGGATTCCATTGGCCAAGAAGACACCCAACAGGAAAACCCCACTCAAGGCCACCATTCAGAAAGCCATTTCACAACAAAAGATGAGGTTCCAGCACAAGAGGAGTCCGTTTCTTCCACAAGCGCAGATAGACCTGAAAAAGTACATAGCGGAGGCTCATCACGAGAACAGGCAGCTCTTATACTACAGCAACTCTCTGAAGAAAGAGCACTTTGAAACGATCTTAGGTTCTGGTAAGCAGAACGGCTTTCACTGTAAATACGAGCATGGAGCTCAAAGTCATTCTTTACCACCACCAAACGGGCTCTTTCACAATCATACAAATGACCATCTAGGTGCTAGCCAGAGGCCAAGGCATGAATGTGAACAACAAATGATTTCTCAGGTATCGAAAACCTACGATGTGCTAAATCATGGTGCTAAACAACAACCTCGGCAAACCATGGCCAGTGAACCCTGTAAAGACTCGCCGCAAAGCCCAGGGATGTACCATAAAGCCAACGGCTTTAATGATCATCAATACTTGCACACAAATCAAAATGGATTTTACAAAGTGGAGAAGTCTGGAGGTGTTACAGTGTTGTCCACATCCAATGTATATTTGGAGAATGGTGATGTGGCATACACTGGAGAACAGACTCCTACCAAGCACACGATCAACAGCTTTTTTGAGTCTCCAATGAGGTTCTTGAACACACCGACCAAGAATCTCCTCAACCCCCCCTCTAAACAAACCACAGAGCTGCCCTACTGTGATTGTGTGGGTAAGTCATATTAGCCATATCATATCTTGAAATAAAAGTTTGCTAGAACTTCTTTCAGTTCATCTATGAACACAATTTCCCTCTACAGAACAAATAATTGAGAAAGAGGAGGGTCCGTACTACACTCACCTTGGATCTGGCCCGAATGTAGCAGCCGTGAGAGAGATGATGGAGAACAGGTAAAGTGGATCTAAGTTGTTTACATGCAATAATGTTTTCACTGGATCCAACACAAAAAATATACACATTTTTTATTAATTTTACTGTATAATTTTAAATGTATATGTATACATTTAATTTCCTAATTAATAATTATTAATTAATCCTTAATTATTGTTTCATATTTATTAAAAACATTAAAAAATATTTGTTTTAAAATAAAAAAGAATAATTATATTTAATAAAAAAATAATACATTTATTTAATAAAATAAGAATAAAATAAAAATGTTTATTATTATTATTATTATTATTATTTAATAATAATTATAATGTTTAATATTTATAAGCAATCCCATGTGTAGCAGCTCGGGGACCTTTCCCAATCCCGTCCCCCCTCTATCCCACCTTCTGGTTAGAGTTAGTTTCAAACTAACCCTAAATATTACACTTCTGCAATTAATTAAATTCAGACAACTTAATATACAGACTCCATTTAAACATTTGTTTGCTTTGTAAGATTAAAGTTTGAAAATCTCTGTTTTGGTTATATTGTTGAAATGCCCACCATTCAAAATGCTCCTGATGATGACGATGATGTCATAATATTTGAATACTGAATTCTGATTGGTGTTTTTTTTTTGCATATATTTGCATATTGAATCTAGATGGATCTGTTCTTCATTGCATATATTTTTAACAGTAAGAAACACAAATCTTAATATAGTTACATGAAAAAAATCTGAATTTGAGGTCTTACATCTAACATTTGTGTAATGGTGGGGACAATTAACAGTGCCAGTTTAAAAGTCAGTTATTTAATTTTAGAAACAACATGTCTTTGTACTATCACATTTAAGTTTTTTCTTACACGCTATAAATGAGTCTTTTTACATAAAAATATATGTATCTTTATATTTTATGAAGGGAGGTCTGTTGCAAAGGGATAATCATATTTGGGGGCATCAAAAAAATGTTGAACTTTTGATAAACACTATAAACACTGTGTTTTCATCACAGATATGGTGAGAAAGGCAACGCAGTCCGTGTGGAGGTTGTTGTGTATACAGGCAAAGAGGGGCGGAGCTCACAGGGTTGCCCAATCGCCAAGTGGGTGAGTGACCCGCATGAAATAACTAGCAGTCTGCGTAGAGCTTGCAGAATGTCTGTTCCTTCATATACTGTGTGCACATGTGTTAAATTCTGCAGATCATACGTCGAGGAAGTGAGGAAGAGAAGTTGTTGTGTCTTGTGCGGCAGCGTGCTGGTCACTGCTGTCAGAACGCAGTGGTAGTCATTCTCATCCTGGCCTGGGAGGGGATCCCACGCAGTGTGGCTGACAGGCTGTACCAGGAGCTCACACAGACTCTCTGCAAATATGGCTCGCCCACTAGCCGCCGCTGTGCCCTCAATGAGGAGTGAGTCACAAGTAACATACGGACAGAGTGTGTGGGAATGATTCACGTACACACTCCCTCAAACAAATACAAAAGAACATTTGGAGGTTGTTCTTGATGAAGTGTTTGTGAAGTGTTTTCTTTAAGCTTTTACACCAACTCCTTCACTCCATCATTTTATAAGTGTACATTCACTGCTGAAAAGACCAGGCTAGATTAGTAGAAAGCAGGGTCAGAAATTATCTTAGGGCAAAAATTCCACCAAAATGAACAAAAAATTCAAGATATGAGGACAAAAAATGACTGCACAATTAAAAATAAAGAAATTGCGATTAAAGTGAAATGTGAACATGAATAAAGAGTGTTGATTGCGGCATTACATTCAGATCTGCTCACAATGTGTCAAAGATTTCTTTTTGTATAGTGTTTTTTGCAGTGTTGAGCATTATAAACGAGCACATGAATGTGATGGCCAGTCAGAGACGTTTATAGTTGTGCAGTTCCACAAATTCTCTCATCATAAACTTAAGTGAAATCTTGGTTTTCTAATACGTTAAAAAAGTAATGAACTAAGTCATTGTTGGTGTTGATATATATAATTAAAAAACAAATAAGCAAGCCTAGCCCAGATGACAAAAAGTAACGCAAAAGTAACAATGCATTACTAACACAATTAGTTACTTTTTATGGAGTAACACAATATTGTAATACATTACTTTTAAAGGGGTCATCGGATGTGACATGCACTTTTACAAGCTATGTGTGTTGGCAGTGTGTGTACACAACCACCCTATAATGATAATGTTCCACCCAGATTATTATTATTTTTTTATCTCGTTAAATATGTATGAATGTAAGCCATTACGGGCACTGTTGTAGTATAATGTGGAATTTTAAACCACCTGTTACCTTCAAAAAAAAAAAGAAAAAAAAGAACACATGACTTGAAGACTTGTTCATTTTGTGACTTGAAATGATCTGTCAAAGAAAGAAAACACCAGCTTTTGAGATTTTTCTTTTAGAAAATAAAATGCACAGTAGTTGTACAGCGCATTTGAAGTGTGAGGCTTTTCCATTTGCATATTTTCTGGATGATTTTTACACGCATAACTTCTAAATAGCAGTTTTCACAGCCCAAACACGTTGCGATCTATCAAATACACTCTACACAGGACATAATAACAAAGAGATGTTATTGTAGTAGTAATTCATCAAGCATATGAGCATTTATTATTCTGCATTTCAACAGTATTTCCAACCCACGTATATTTTATATTGTGTATTTTCAAGAACATCAGATATTTTGAATAGATTTTCGAAAATATCTTGGAATATTAGTAAGGACCATGATCAAATATGTATTTGGCTTATATCTGCCAAATGTGTTCAGGAATAACAATTCCCTAACTGTTATCATAAAGTGATTTTCCTGGCAGAAAAATCAAATTCCAAAAAAGATTTGGTAAAAGTAGTAGTATGCTTGTATGCAGTTCTGAAATTCAGTGTGAGTACACTTAGCCTATATTTAATCTTTTGATCAAGATATACTTACAGCACTTTTTAGATAGAGTAGCCTATTAAATACGTTTTTCATACAGAATGTAGCTAGTAGTTTTACATACTATCTTATAAATTTACATGTTCATGTTTATAGTAAAAAGTCAGCTTTGATGTTGATAACTTCCCTTACAACATTCATTTTAATATAAGTAAACTTAAGTAAAGTATATTTTCCAAATATGTGGTAAGTATACTCATATTAATGCACTAATACTTGTACATGTACTTGTATATGTATGTAATTTCAATACTTCTTGGGGGTCAGTTGACCCTTTTAGTTTATAAAAGTATTCTTTCATGTGTACTTGGTATGCTTTCAAGTGTAACAATAGCAAACTTTAACAACAAAACAATAGTTTAACTTATAGCAACTACACGTCAACTTATAGGTATACAGTTAGTTAAGAAGTTATATACTTCTAATCCATTTTTTTAGTGTATGAAAGTGCATTTTGAAGAATACTCTCAGCTAATTTGCACCAAGTATGCACTGAAAAGAATGGAGTGCACTTTCATAAACTAAAATGTCAGCAAGTATGTAGCTAGTATTGCTGCAATAGCCTACTAAAGAAACACAGATGCAAAGTAATTAGTGAAAAATAACTACTGTGAGCACATAAAGTACACTTAAAAATATAATTTTATGAAGTCAAAAGTGCGGCAATTTAGTACCACGTAGTAAACATACAAGTACACTACTAATATACTGATATTAGTATACTTCGTTACTAAAGTATACTTGGAAATATACTTTAAGTTTACTTAATATATGAACTTGAAGTATGCTGAAGAATATACTTCTTCCCTGACACATTTCTGATCACTTTTCATTCTCGAGTCATCAGTAAATTCTTTATTTAAAGCGGCAACTAATGTCAAGCACAGTTGAAGTGGTGGACGTCTCTTTTACAGTTTCTGACACCAGACATTTTAGGGCCAAAATATAAGGGGGAAGAATAAAATCTAAACAAACCAGCTTCTCTGGTTCCTCCCAAGGTTTTTCTCTCTTCACTACCTAAACATCTTGTGAACTTTCTTTCTCCAATTCCAGTAAACCGGGAAACCTTGTCCTGGAAATATCATAGAGGTTATGAGAATGTTTGAGGTGAATAGTGACAGCTGCCATATAAACAGATCTCTAAAAAATGATAATGGAAGCAAAGAGAATATAAAGGAAAGTAGCCTTCTAAAGAGCGGCTGTGTGATTTCTGTTGTACAGGGTCAGCAGGAGAGTCAGGCAGACACACACGGGGGAGGTTAGTGTGTGCACATCTCTTGCAGAATGCAAGTGAACTTTGTATGTAGGAGGATTGGAGGATTTTAGGCTGAAGTCTGCACGGGAATACACACTCTAAAGCAGACATGATAGAGCTACAGAACAAAACAACTCAGAAGTGTGAGGATCCCACGCCACTGATTTTTCAGCAGCATTTATGTTAATTACTTTAATGAGACATAATACGAACTTTATGGGCTGTTTTATTAGGAGTTTTAGTTAGTTATTTGAAGATTTTGTTAGCTAAACTAACAAACTACCAAAATGTGCCATGTTACTACCAGCTAATTTGGATATGTACCATGGTGTAAAGCACATGTAAATGCTACAGTACACGATGGATGAGTCATACAAAATCATATCCAGGTCATTTCACCACAAATTATACACAAAATACAAATGATATTTTGCATAAAGATTCATTGGATTGTGACATTATTTTCTTGGCATTAGTGGTGCTTTCCATTAGGCCTACTGTAATGCGATTATAAATTAGAGCAAGTATACTTTACCATTCAAATATTAGCATTTGTTTGCATTACAATAAGATTATTTAGACCTTAATGTTTGTAGGCTATTTAGTTGATCGTTATCATTCATTAATCAATGCTTTATTATTAAACTGACATTAGTAGTGTTGCATTAACCATCCTGACACTTGTCTACATACAATTACATACTAAGATTCCTTTGATTTTAAATGTGTGTGTCAAAATAGCGTTTCTGTCTCGCGCGTCCCGCTAAACCCTGCCAGCTTCCGTAAATTCTCGAGCGCTTGCGTGACGCAGCAGCGTCCAACGGTCAGAAGAATTTTCACAGAGGCAAGATGGCGACTTCGGAGCCGGTAAGTGGGAGCGGGCTTCTTTCATTTAGGGCTTCCCAGCGACCAGAAATGGTAAAGCGGCGTCTGTCGGGTTGTCTGCGGGACGTGTTTAACCCGTGAGCTGCACGTGGTCCTGGGACCTTGGGGGCATTACTTTGATTAAAGGGAGATCTCTTTACCAATATCTATGTGATGCTTACAAATCTAGTCTTGCGTGACATGGTGTGGAGAGAGTCACAATTTAGGTGGCAGTAGTGTTTAGTGTCGTTCTGAGCTCAGAAGTCATATGAGCGATGCGGTGGCAGTCCGCCAGCGTGCTGCAGGAAGTGCTGAGCTCACGTGTTGAGCTGTCTCATTCCAGCCCTTTCTGCCTTTTCACTGCCCGTGGCTTATTCCTGTGATATTTAGATCTGCGAGGACCTTCATTCATCACAATTTAGGTGGCAGTAGTGTTTAGTGTCGTTCTGAGCTCAGAAGTCATATGAGCGATGCGGTGGCAGTCCGCCAGCGTGCTGCAGGAAGTGCTGAGCTCACGTGTTGAGCTGTCTCATTCCAGCCCTTTCTGCCTTTTCACTGCCCGTGGCTTATTCCTGTGATATTTAGATCTGCGAGGACCTTCATTCATTATGAAAACTGTCACTGAAAGCTTTCTCAGTCTACCGAAAGACAGAGTGCAACATTCACATTTCAGTTTGTATTTCAAGGCAGTCATTTTTATAATTGTTCTTTTAGAAGTGTCATTTATTCATGTGATGCAAAGCTGAATTTTCAGTATCATTACTCCAGTCTTCAGTGTCACATGGTCATTCAGGAATCATTCTAATATTCTGATTTGCTTCTCAAGAAACATGTCTTATTATTATCAATGTTGAAAATTTGTGCTGCTTAATATATTTTGTGGAAACTGAGACTTTTTTCAGGATTCTTTAGTGAATAGAAAGGTTCAAAGAACAGCATTTATTTGAAATGGAAATCTTTTGTAACATTATAAATGCCTTCACTGTCACTTGATAAATTTAATGTGTCCTTGCTGAATAAAATTAATCATATTGTTTGCATTTTTTTAAATACTTTTTTCTATTACAAATTGTCTTATCAGTAGAACCATTTGATTGAAAAGTTTAGTTGAAAAAGAAAGATGAATTTGAGAGTGACTAAGTAGTATTAGCTTGAGTGACAGCAGCGCTCAAGCTGCATGAACTCCACAAGTTTGTGTGAAAACTAATGATCATGTTCTCCAACACGATTCAAGATGATCTAAAGGACAACTTGAACTTCAGCAGCAGAAGAACTTAGTGTCACATGATCAATTTATACTATACTATATAATAATACTGTAACCTGTAATATTTCTCATTTTTGTAGTGCAGTCATGGTTTTTCCATTGGTTAACAGGACAGCATGATTCATCTCTTTGAGAGCTTCTGCATGAATATTAAATGAGTGACCCAAAGAGACCTGTGCTCACTGTCCTTATTTGCGTCCCTGTAGATGGGCTCTCTGGTATTTCAAAAATGACAAGAGCAAAAGTTGGACAGAAAACCTGCGTCTCATCTCCAAGTTTGACACCGTGGAAGATTTCTGG